TTGTGACCTTGCACGGGTTCGGTAACCACGCTTGTACTCCTTCAGTATCTTTTCGATACCACGAGATCGCCAACAAATACATCTCGACTACAGCCATCAACTGCCTTCTGATATTTGACTTACAGGGGATTTTATCAGTTAACTGGCACGTAGTCTTCTTGTAGTGGTGTTCACAGTCAAACGCTACTCGACACCACGCTACAAGATAATAAAAGTCAATTATTAATCATGAAAACCTCATAAGCTATATAGTAATCAACGTCTACAATTGATGTGCATTACTTGTTTTTAGAGACGGATATATATTCGTTGGTTTAAAACGGTCAAGGTCAGCCCAAGAACTGCTCACTTTAGTACAAAATCAATCAATCTCCACTATAATTCAACCTTAACGAAAGTTTATATAAATTAGTTAATGATGATTAATGGTGAGTATAAAATTCTTCCTTTTAACCCCATTAGAACTGACCTATTCTTTAGTTATATCCAGTTTAATTACAAATAATAAATAAGAGTAAATTAATATGTATTTCTCACAGAAGTTGAATTAAATTCTCATATAACACTAAATCTTTAAACAAATTCCTAATATGACTGAAGGGATTTTATACGATAATCTGAACGAATTTATACTGATAATATGGTGTGTGCTACAGATGTCGACAGATATAAGTAGTATATATCATAAATTGAAAGTGAAATGCCTGGTGTCGTCAGGTTAATAAGATAGAAGAAAAGAGAACGAGAATGATTACTGTTGAAACAAGTGAACAATGAAGTCTGAGACAATTGATTAACATTTTGCAAATGAATTATTTACTGTATGGTTCTCAACTTTGACTAAGATATTCTGTAATTTTGTATTCAAGTATATTTAGTTGTAATTTTAATAGTTGAGATCATGAGTCATTTGAGGCTAGACCACCACGAAGAACCTGGAAGCACTGGACGGCCGATATTGGCATACTTATACATACGAGGTTGATTACAGATGAATATGTGTATCATGATGTAGCGAAGATTTCAGTAAAGTTAATAAGGTCATAAAAGTTGTTTGTTTCGGATAAATAAAGTTTGGGAGGGAAAGTTCCAGGACAGTGAACTAATGATTAGAACTCAGAGTTAATAAGCATTAGATGATTGTGTAATGAAGCAATTGAAAACAGATGGATAATAGTAAAGACATGAACCGAAATCGGTCAGTCATGAATTAAAGAGAAATGACAATGATGTAATTAGATTTCAGAAAGAGTTGAAATAATGAATGACTTAACGAGTAATATTACCGGGGTAAAGAAAAATTTATGACTGCCTCTTTTTGAATACATAGATCTGGTTTCAGATGATTGATCACTAGGGCAAATTTAAAAAGATTGGAGTTTGTTAATCAATTTGAAAGACTTTAGTGTATTGACTTCATGTCCTGTGTCCAGATTTCTTGCGATGGCACTGCTGAATGCTTCTAATCCATTTGTCCTTAAGCTTTGTTCTTTGAATTGGACAAAGCTCTCCTTTCTGTTCTACCAATATAACTACTTTGGCAGATACAAGTAAATTTGCATACACAGTTGGTGGTAACATGAAAGAGATACCTATCGACCTTTGTGTTAAAGAACATGTTATTTTGGATAGGACAATCAGTTTAGCTACAGGGTAAGTTCTTATCAATGCAGTTTTTTTAGTCTCATATTAGATTGACCCTGTGATATAATCACCTTTGAATTTAATTTGAATAAAAATAGGTTTTTTATTTACTGTAGTTTCTTTGGGTTTTGTATCATCTCTTTTTCCATATTTCTCAATAAACATGTACTGCCGATACACTGGGAGAGGAAGTAATGAATGTTAAAATATAACGGATACCCACTGATTATCTTGTTAATCATGTCTCATATGTAGAATATTATCTTGTGGCAAACGACAAATTAGTTAACATTCCTTTTATATCAGGACGCATTATTCTTCATCGCCTAAACTACGTGTTGTAAACACAGTGTCACTACCACCAACTATTTTTACGAAAATTTAGACGTTGAAAAACCAATAAGTGAGATTAGCTCAAAAAGCTATTGACTGTTAGTTAAGGTCACGTAAATAATTACTCCCATTGTGATTTCTGTCATTATTTTCCTTATCTCATTAACTACCTTATCTATTTTATATTTATCCTTTAGATAACCATGATCTGCAACGATTCTGTATTCCTATGACGGAAGAAGTCAAGGAAGGTCGGCACATCTCACTTTGGTGCATGGAGTTCCATCGCTGGAGATAAGTACAGAGCTAATGCATCGGAAACCAAGCATAAAAAGAGAGAATGTGACTGGCCCAGAAGAGTTCCATTGAGTGATGTGTCCATCCTACCAAAATGATAGAACCACTAGCAATCCAACTATCTTTTAAGATGCCTCAGCAAACGGAAAGTGACAATTATTTTCTCATCACACACGAGATCATCCCATTACAACTGATTGGTATCCTACTTAGTAACCTTACATTCATTTAACATACAGTATTCAATCGTTACCTAACAATCCAAACGAGTGTTCTATTACTCTAGGCGAAGAAACACGTTTCATTGAGGAACAAACACCTACTAACATAACTGAATATTAGCACCAGACATAAATAATAATTTGAATTAGGGATTTATCTACATAATGGACTGATAAAAAGTGGTGCTATAATCTATGGACAAGCTAATCAAGTTTAAGTTAGTAGGTCATTGGATCTGGCGTGAAATCAATTCATTCATATGGCTAAATAGCATAATTGATGCCGGTTCGTGATAAAGCCTTTAGTTAACCCTCGTTTAAACCAAGTAAGTAGGGGGATATTCTCAAGGCCACCCGTCCACCAATCATAGTCTCACCACTGTTCAATAAAAAAGCCACCAGACCATGTAGCAGCATAAATGGAGAGCTAGAGTACTGAAATTTTTTTTATTTCATCGACCAAAACAATCTAAGAAGTGTAAATTTGTAATTTGGCCACTACCAAATAGTTTTTTTCTAAATAGTAAATCCCATAGAATAAAGCTTTGTAGAGAATTAGGAATTTCATGGTTTATATCGGCGATTTGCCTTAATAAAGAAATCCAGAAGTATTGCATCACTGTTTCGTCTCGGTATGAGACAACATGTACCCACGATCCTATCGAGGATCAAAAGTAGGGACCTAAAGGTTCTGAACACTAATGAGGAGTTAGAATACTGGGACGTAACAGTTATTTAATGTTATGTAAACGACATAATATGTATTCAACATACAAATTCAGTTGTGAAGAGGTATTTTATTATTTCGAAGATACAATAATAATAAACGAAGAAAAATGAATACAACACAATATCCAAGTGAAATGATATTTTCTCTACAATAAAACAGGATGGTTAGATTTTATCTGCCGTAAAAGCATAATAATAATGATAAAGCTATAAAATAAACAATTGTATATGTACTTGTGTGTGTGACAAACATACTGTTTCCATGATCCGATAGTTAGATAAATGTAAGCGAACGTGTAAGCGTAAAACGATTAAAAGTTAAATTATTGCAATAATGACTCGGAAAACGAAATAGAGTCAATGATCGATATAGGTTTAGCCAGTTATGAATGTAACAGTTACCACTAACTAAAATGGTATGAACATATTACAATGAACAGAGAATTATGCACACATACATATGTAGTTGATTTACAGAGGAAAAGAGAGAGCAGAAAAAACGACACTAAGAAAAGATGTTTGTGTTGATGACAATCAGCACGATGGTAACAATAATAATAATAATGCTGACAGAGGTAGATACGTAGAAAAGATGAGTTGGATCGTTTGTGTTACGTTCGACATCATTTTCTTTTCAAGAAAACAAAAAAGCAGACACCACTGATAAGCTCGATCATCAACATACAAGTTTGACTGGTTGGTGCACATAGAAACGCTTTAATTCAACGATTTATCCTGTAATATGCACAAAGTTTAAAAACATCTATAAACACATAGGACAAAAGCAGTCAGTCGAGATAAAAAGAAAAAGTTAAAAATAAAGAGAACAGACATAAACAAGAGTAACACGAGCTTATCATGCCGATTAGTAGTAGTAAATTCTAGATGATAGGCTATGAAATCTCTTTTAATTCAACCGATTAGAAACATGTGTATGCTGCAGAAGCTCACCCTCACAAGATCTAAATGAAAAGCTATACAATAAAACTGGTGAAGAAATTAATCAATGAAACAGAACATACATATGAATTCAGAAACTCCTCTTGTATCATATTCATATGGAAAAGTGTATGAATTAATAGTAGTAAGGCAATATAGTTGATATTGTTGTTATCATCATCATGAAATTTGGAGTAACAGTGAAAAGTTAATAATAATTTTATATATTACACCATACACTAAAACTTTTGTTCACTTTACACCACAAATTTCATTGTTATTCCAAATTTCATGATGATGATAACAACAATATCAACTATATTGGCTTATTACTATTAAGTCATGCACTTTTCCATATGAATATGATACAAGAGAAGTTTCTGAATTCATATGTATGTTCTCTTTCATTGATTAATTTCTTCACCAGTTTTATTGTATAGCTTTTCATTTAGATCTTGTGAGGGTGAGCTTCTGCAGCATACACATGTTTCTAGTCGGTTGAATAAAAAGAGATTTCATACCCTATTATCTAATCAAAATAATATGAGCAGGGAATCGTCACTGAATAAAAAAACAAACAGAAGCGTGGAAAAAAATTAAGACTCACATGAAACGAAATCTACACACCAGCACTGGCATTATCAATAGGAAAATATATAAAAACGTTAATCGATAAAGAGGAACAACACGAGGTGAAGAAAGTGGATTTATGTGTATATGTATGAATCCACTTATAATTGTATAGAAGAGTGTGCGAAGAAAATACACACACAGACAAAGAGCATCAATGGTACCGTTACTGTGTTGAATAGTTTATAGATCATTAAAACAACGGATATAATTGTCATTGTTGAACGTCACTAAAGGAAGAGGAAGTAAATAGACATATATACAAAGAACTTGATGTTAAATTGATAAACATTATGATGGTATTGAATAATAATAATGATAATAATAATCTGTCAGTTACTGTTTCATTAACTATTAGATCGAATCATGTCGACGTCTATAAGAGACTATAATAATACCTATGATTAACAGAACAGTCTCGTTATTCATTCTACTTGTATTTCTAAATGTTTATAGAATATTTGCAACTGAGGATGTTGAAAGTGTCATGATCTTTGAGCTTTTATTGTTCGTCAGGACAACATCATCGATACATTTCAAACAATAGACACATCCAACACTTTCAATATTACTCTGAAGTTTTATTTTTCAGTACGAGGTTGTGGAGACTGTTTTTGATTGAGATCTTGAATCAATCTAAGCTATACCACCTTTGAAAACCTGAAAACATTGGACGGCCGTTTCGTTTTAGGATGGGACTCCTCAGCAGTGCGCGACCCCGTACTCAGCACATTGAGTCTCGCGCGCGAACACCTAACCTCTAGGTCAATGAGCTGGCGTCCATTGATGTTAATGTGTAAATTCAACCAGTTCACAAAACCGAACTACCATTTTCCTTTGTCTTCGGTGGGTAACTGCTTCACACCAGACAAAAATTAGCTCCACTAGTCAAGGGTTAAACTCAGTAGGATTCATCATCTTTGCTGTTATGCTAACTGATGTAAAGTGTAACGATTTTTAGTATTTATTAAAGATATTGACTAGTGAGAATAAGTTTGCTGAGTACTTTACTTCTATGGTGGCATAGACTACTTTATCTAGTTGATGAATGCATAAAACCAGACCATATCATAATCTACAGTCATTAGAAATTGTAAATTAATATATGGCTCAAAGTAGATTACCACATCACAGAAGTAGTCAGTCATTAATTCATCGGTTTTAATTGGTTCCAATTGAATGATAAATTATTTTCTCATTTTAAGCTTTTCACTGAAGACTACACTGTAATTTATGGACATGAACATATTTTTTTCTGAAGTTCAATTTTTTTTGTGAATAATGAATTGGATGGGGGGGGATACGAGAACTACGGTCAAAAAATATCTTAGTGCCAGGAGATTATAACATTTTATCAACCACTTGACTGACTGAATTTAGTCTTATAACAAGCAAGATTTAATCATGATGATAATTACTATACATTGATATTCGTTTTCTTTCTTCATTTATCGAAACTCGTGTAGTGACTGAGTAGAATATTATCTAAGAAAACTATATCAGTTGAATGATAATTCTCAAACGGTAGCGTGAACCAAGGTTTCAATTTATTAAAAAAATGTTTGTAACACGACTGCTCATGTCCGTATAACACTAACATCTTAGCGATAAAATAGTATTTTTCATAGATTTACATGATCATACTATGTAAATGTGAGTTTTACAATGGCAAAAGTTCCTTCTACATAGATTTGATTTCTTTTTTTTGCTGATAGAAACGATAAAACATGGTACAAAGAGTTGTGATGAAATTGGAGCTTCTTCATAGAAGAAAAATAGTTGTATATAGTAATGTTTTTCTTTGTAAGTAAACTTGAATAGAGATTTATGTGTTCACTTATAAGCAACACTTATTGACAGTACTTAAATGATGAAATGGAACTAGACAAAGAAAGGTACGAAATCCAAACATCATAGTTGAAAGTCGACTGTTTTTAAATATTGAAAGCCCTTGATAATTTATCAAAAAAGTATTCAAAAGCCGGAAACATGTTGAAAATACTTTGATTAATCAGTTGTCTTGAGCAGCTTTCAAGAGACTTCTCCAATCAATCGATAATCGCCATTTTACAATGTTTCCCAGAAACATTGAGATACACTATAAATACTCTTGATTATTTATACATGTAACAAACGCAGAAGTAAAGCTCATACTGTATTTCCTTTCTGTTTTTTTTTATTATTAAAAATTCACGAATTAACGATTACTGAAAATCAAGAAGTTGAGTGTCCAAGTGATTAGTTATAAGAGTTATCATAAATCATGAAACAATCGCTTCTTTCTGTAAACATTCAATATGAATTACAAGTCACTATGATGATATACATTACTCAGTTTGGGTGATCACAACTTATCGATTGATTGATAGAATCTGTTTATTCTTAATAATCAGACCAATGACCAAATATTTACCAATAGAAATGTACACAATAAGCGCATAAGTGTTTTTACATACAGTTAACCCTTGAGTTTCTCTCTCTCTCATGAATGGTCAGCATAGATTATAATTTAAACATCATACGCATAGATATTAATTTTATGTAATAATAATAATAGTAATAAACTGATACATATACACCATAATTTTATTTACCCGACAATTTTATATTGACGATAGTTGAATACATGAAAGATGTATTGAAGGTGGGAGAAGAACAAACTGAAGATTCTTTTCTTTATATGGAAAGAAAAATTCAACTGAATAGTTTCTTTTTGTATGTATAAGAGAAAATATGCAAGTATGAATACATAAAAATGTCACCGGAATGAAGATGTAAGCAGATATAACTAGTGTACACTATGTTCATATGTAATTCTGAAGTGTAATAGGTAGGTAATGAATGCAAACATGGAGAATTAAATAATGATGAATAACTGTTGATAATTACTAACCCATGATTAATGCTGTTGCTGACGTCATCATCATCATAATTATCTTTTTCTTCTTCTTCATATCACTTATAAACGTCTACTGAAAAAACGATAAGCAGCGACTAGGCCGACAGCTCCAACAGCTATTGTTGCTACACTAGTCAAAGCATTTCGAAGTGAACGTAACGTATCATCATCTGTGAAACTACCAGTGACTAAACTAATTAAACTATTATTTCCAATTGTTGTCGAGGTTATTGTTGATTGGTCAGTTTCATCACGTTGTGATTCAAAATTTATAAGTCCTTCCTGTGAATTGTAAAAGAAAAAAAAAAGAAGTGGTAGACAGAATGTGATACAAATTCTATCCATTAGTCGAAAGGATTTTATGCTCCTTAGTTTAATTTATGAGTTGTATGTGTTATATACTGATATTAGTTGGGATACATTTACAATGCAAACTATGCATATAGACAAGTTGTATAATAATATTGACTTTTGTAGGGACAGTAAAGAATGGTCTTATAGAAAGATCAATCTTCTTGTGGATCGAGAAAGAACATGAATACCATTCTGTATAATGTAAGGCCTCATTAATAATTTTATAAATATCAGAGTTAGCATTCGATCTTTACTCTATAAAATAAAGAGCATATCATGAACATATTTAAAGAACATCATAATACACCTAATGCATTATTATTACCGAGAATCAACTTTGTTCAGATATACTTTACTATGAAACCAGAAGGTAAAATTACAAATAAAATAGGTAGGTCATCTGATACTATTAACCAGTATCAATAAGGGTTTCTAGTATCCGATCTGTTGACATATGTATGCATCCTGGATTTTACACTTAGCCACACATTAGATAAACAATAACGTTATATCAAGGCAATCTGCACAGAATGTACTAAGATTGAACATAATTCAGTCATGAATATCAGTAGCAACATAATTCAAACCTTTTATAATATATAATATAGCACTTAGTGACTAACTGAACTCAGTGGATAATGTCATTGAGCGTTTGATGTGAAAGGTACCGGCTTCGAGTTCCAGTGTGAATAACGACACTAGGATGTGACAGGTACATCTAGCTAAAGTCAAATTCTAAATAGAACGAAATGCGAGTCATGGATTCCATTGCTATACAAGTACATATTATTACCTAGTGTTGAATAAAGTGAAGAGGACAGTAACTAGGTTAGAGTCTTCAACAGTAGCATGATGTTTCGTATTCGCCTATTTTCAGTGCACTGACTTTATAATGATTAAAGAGAAAGCAAGCCAACAAATAACGGTTACTTTGTTTTTATTTATCATAGTATATTTAAACACGTGACAACTTTTTGTTACTTATAAACGTATAACACCTTTGTCACACTCTCTGTTATTCAGTTTTGTTTTGTTTACTCGTTGACTGTTTTCGTATAACTACCCAAACAACTTACATTATACCATCTTTCGGTAATGGTATAAGGCACAAATAATGAAATTGGAAAGCCTCATGAATTATACTTGTACATGTACATACATACAAATATGTATTTCAACTATTTAGTCATATTACCTAATTTTATGGACAAGACATGAAACACAATGATCTCTCGCACCATATATGACGTAATGAATTTAGTATTTTTGAGGAAATAGATACATCAGCACACACACACACACATCACATCTATACATATACAAAGAACATATTGGGATCATATATCAATTCGATAAAAATGGGTAAATAAAACAAAATGAAGGACAACTCGATTTAACAACGATAACAATGCTGACAAAGAACTATGAACAATTTTCAAGTAACAACAACAAAATATCATATTTTGTGTAACCTCCCCCCTTTCACATTTATTTTTTCTCTCGTTCCAATTAATTACTCGTGAATTTTTGTAGAAATGTGGAAGGGAATTTTGGAGGTGAATAAATAAACTGGAGAGAGAGAGAGAGTGGGTGAAAGTAACGAAATTTCAAAGAAATATGTAATTGAATTTTGGCAAACATATTAGAGATAGTGAGAAAATTGACTGTGTAGACCAAGGAGAGACGTTTATATTGTCATCTCATCTAATTAGTTGATACTTGAGTGCTTTCCCCACTAAGAGGCTATAAAGTTCACTAAGAATGAGACAGTAAATTATGAATAGCTTAAGATGACTGTATCACTTTACATCATAAACTAACTGAAGTTACAAATATACTGAACTAATAGATCCTGACTCAACAGAGAATAGAGAGACAAAAACATTAAAAGAAAAGAGAACCATTTGCTCACCCAATTTCCATGAGACGATATCCAATTCCAAAGTCCTCGGGGACCATGTATAAACTCAGTTGTCCACAAAGTATAATCAGCTGCGCAAGGTCTTGTGAATGACACCAAACGCAAGTCACTAGCATTTAACCGATGAGGATCCATTGTAGTTTCTGAATTTTTATCTTTCAATTTTTTATCTGTAGTTTTATCACTGCATGAAGAAGATGGATCAGTAGAAGATAACTACAGAAGAACAAGAGCAACAAAAAATGATTTTAGAACAGACTGTGATAATGTGTTGATTATAAAGTGCTTAAACAGATGAATATTCATGTAAACACATTTACAATGGTAAAAAGGAGTATCAAAAAATATATGCCTCACACAGATTTTGTGTGAGGGAGGGGGTACTCTGCTTGAGTGCCCAGATTAGAGACAGGTGGTTTTCCTAGGGGATCGTTTCCCGAGCCCCTAACTCAGAAGCATGTCACAAGGCAGTGGAGCAACATTAAGAGATGTTGTCCCATAACAGTGACTAAGACTGGGTTAATACGCTATTTGTCCCCTCAGGATCCTGAAGCCCATGTGAACCATTGGTTCGGGATCAGGGTTTTTCAACCCCTCCTTGATCTGTATCCACCACCCCGGTTCAAGCGGCGGTCATTCGCCTTTTCTCCTCTCAATTACGTAAGCAACACTCCCGCCACGAGAAGGTATTGAGTAGGACCTTCCTGGGAATGGCTATATATATGAACGGCCATTTGAGAGCAATTCGAGAGAAATTGGTCTCTATCCATCTTCGGTCGTACCAGGGAATTTGAGGACTTAAAAGCCGACTCCCAAACCAGGAAATTGATGAATATATAAGTGCTAGTATTTTTTATACGTTTAAGATTTAATTTGATACAGAAGTGAATTAATGAAATTAAACATATATGGATAAGCTTGACTATTTTCATAGCCTAAAGAATGAAAATTAATGTGAATATAAGACGGTAATTTATTGTTTATGAGGCGGATAAAAATGCATTACTACTACTGCTGTTCCGTGAAATAAAAAGACTTAGAAAAATTTAGGATACATCAATTTTCCTCATCATCTGCCCCATACACCTTAAAAATGCTTTCAATACATTTCAATACAACGTCATCGTTCCCAGTGTTCAATACATACATTTTTTAAAACGTGAATATATCGCCAAAGGAATTCGTTGGCACAAGGGATTTTCCTAATTTCAGTTGAACTTTAGTCATTCGGACTATGAATCAGTTATTGGGGGCAAAATTAACTACACATGTTCAATATTTTCATCAGTAAAGAAAGTTAAATAGTCGTCCTAATTCACTTAAAACTTTAGCGATTTGGTTAGCGTATTAGTTGAACAGATTTTATTTTGAACAAGAAGAGTTTGAAGGTTAATTAATGAAGGAGAGCTACAGATCGCGTACAACATACGAGTGAAAAAATATGTACTTAATTAGAAGACTAATCGTTAGGATTGTAGAAGTAGTTCTGGTAGAGTAAACGAATCTATTCCTCATTACTATCAACATAATGCTGTAGTCGAAGTAAGATGACCATTCAATGAATAAAAGTGACGATAAAATTTTGTGAAATAAAAATCAAAACTTACTTGCTTATTACAATCAGATGTAACAGCATCATTATGCTCAACTTGTTCACAAGAAATAATGGGCAAATCAGTTGACTTAGAAATACCATGATACTGTTGCAGTGACTGATGTGAAACTGAATAATTCATACGTTTATTGTTATCTTCAACAACTTCACATAATGTTCGCAAAAATGCCAACATTGCAATTATACGACCCCAGTTAATACGTTCAAGAAATAATTCTTCTAGAACACTATGAAATTGACATCGTGCCATTTCTAATCGAGTTTGAAGTGAATCATCGCTCACATGACTAGAAGCACCACTGGCGTCACCATCACCAATCCTACTATCACTCTTCACACTTATGTTAGTATCATGCACATTAGTAACATTATCATTAACACTAATCATTGTTGTTTTGTTTGTCTCTTCTGTACAACTTTGATCATCTATGTTATAATTAATATTATCACTATTGGAATTACTATTTAAACGCGCTACATCTTCTAATAAACTGCCCAATTTATCACGATATCTAGACTCAAAATGATCAGCGAGATTTCTGGCGCATAGAATTAATCGTGCAGATATAAATGTTGACGGAATTGACTGATGAGATTGATGATGATATACAAGAGAAGTGAATGGTAGTATGGTGGTATTGGTAGTAGCAGATGGTTCATTACTTGTAGGTTGAATTTCATTTTCAGGCTGAAACAAACAGAATTTGACAGGAGGGTATAAAGTTCTCATTTAGGAAGATAGTAAAAATCATGTGCTTTTATAAATTAGAAACGGTTTAATGGTGACTATTGACGCTTGAGATTTCTGACGGAGAAAATCCTGAATCCTAAAAACGAGACTATCTTTTGGTTTCAAAAAAATAATGACACACTTCCTAGAGTTAGTGATAGTTGAAAGATATATAAGATTCTTGGATATACCACAGCAACCTGAGATTTGACTTGACCATCATATATTACACAATTACACCAACACATCCAATTTTCTTCAACAAAACTATGCAGATCACGTGGTCTATTAGATCGCTAAAGTTTGAAAAGGTAATGGTGGCCTTCAATATGAAATATAGGCAAACAAACTGAGCATTTCAGTGGTAGCTAATGACGAGACCGATGACGTACACTGAAAACTTTCTTAAAAAAGGGGAAAACATAATCAACTCGATGAGGGTACAAATTACACATTAATTGACGTGATTTCCTAAAAGAACTATTGTATGATGCTTAGAGAACCCTACAAACAAAATATGCTATTGGGAGCGTTTAATTTCATGAAAAACCTGTGAAAATAAGTTGCGTATACAACACCAATTAGTACGGTCCAAATAATTTAGTGTTAACATTCCTGACTATGGTGATGGATGATATGGATTAGACTTTCTAGAGGTGGAAGCAAACGTCCTCTTAAAATTAAAGACATAACTTGATGAACAATGCCAAACTAGCACGAAACTTAAACACTAAGAATAATGTCGATTGCCTTTAGTCATATAACACTAGTGTTTCCAAAAAAGCACATTCAGTTGGAATTGCAAGAAAATGTGCAGTGGGATTAACCAATACAGATAGGAAGAAAAATGTATTCAAATATTCTGTTAACATACAGACAAAAATTTACCTCAGATGAACTATTCGGTTTGAAACGTTTCACTGCGCATACTTCCTGATCAGATGATGATGACCGAGTAAAATCTGTATTATCTGTACAACTAATTGTTGGTGTAAGAGTAGTAGTAGCAGTATTAGGGATATTGGGGGTTGTAGAAGAATATGACTGGGATGTACCAGAAGATAAATCCAACTTAACAGTATTTCTTTGCCAATATTCTAAAAGTGTACGCCAGTCTGGGGATAGACGTGAATCAAGTAGATGTGAAAGGAAATTTATTGTTCTCAAAGTAATTGGATTTTGAAATAATACATTATAATTGTAGATACTATCATGGTTATTATTATTATCATTAAATTGTCGTAAAGAGGAAGAGAGAGAAGGAGAAGAGGTTGAGGAGGAGGTATTTTGTTGATTATGATCAGTTGATTGATTGAAAATATTTGAATGATTTGGTTTAGGTGAATTTTCAGTAGGCTGGCTTATTGGAACATCGACATCATCATTATTAGTATTATCGGTAGACATATTCATAGTCGCAGGAGTACTAGTAGTAGTGGTCGAATGTTGAACAGGAAAATCAACACCACCAACGTCAGAATAGCCAATGATTGACGCTAATGGATTTGACTGGAAACAATTTGAATCCGGTGGTAGGGGACTTTCAGGCGTAATAGCTGTAGCCGCAGAAGAGAATGGGGAGAATGAAATATCTGATGTTGTACTGCCGCCTTCCCCACTGGCTGATCGTATAGACGGTAGACAATCACCGATAATAGCACTATTAATATGTGATGTAATACAACAGTCTGGTGGAGTTGAAGTCGGTTCACTAATTGATACAGACCGGGTGAATGATTTGCCTTGGACAATATTATATGGATTCAAGTCTAAACCAAGATTATCCCTGAAGAAAAAGGAAAAACACACAAAATAACTAGGTCTTTTTCTGGCATATTGAGTGGATTGGCGAATTTGCAAGAATACGGGGGGAAGGGGTGTTTTTGAGATGTAGAAACGCAGAATTTTTTTTGCATTCAAGCTACATCTTTTTGAGTGACATTCAATGAAATAACTTAGATATATTTTTTGATAAGATAATACGACGACAAATGGCAATGACATACCTATGTATTGTGTGATTATGTTAAATGTTGCTAGTTATACACACATTTATTAAGTTGTACAATGACAATTACGATTCAAACAGTAAAATTGTTACACTACAAAGTAACAAATAAATTCTTCTTCTTTTCCAAATGATAACTCTCAATGTTTATTGTTAGAATGAAAGATCAGATTTTAAAACTTAAAATCAAGTGAACAATTCACTATCTATTTTAATACAAAGACAATTATACACTAACTCAAGAAATCTCACTGTTTTATAATAAAACAAGTTTGTTAAGTTATTTACTAAGTCGAAACTTAATTTTTCAACTATGAGTTATAATGTTTATTTTTAAAGGACAATCATACTACCTGGTAACTAAAAGTGAAGTAAATGTTACCGAGTTTGAAACTGAGATATTTTCCTGTATTAAGCTATAATTTTTACATTTAAGTAATTGCAGTTAATACAACTGGTAGAACTGATCAACTCAATACTGCTTTTATACATACATATAATTGAAAAACCATGAAACAGACAATAAGTACACATAGACCATAGATAAATAAAGTAATCAGAGGTCATTATCTTTGTTCACTAATTGTTCATTTCTTTTTCTTTTCTTTTTTTTTGTAAAATGAATTTATTCGACAAACAATTCGGAAGGAGGGTCAATATAAGCGGACTTTTATAAGAACAGGTGTTTTGTTTATCCAGTAACAATAGACTATTTTATACAATGACGTCAGACAATATATATGCACACTTATATCCATGAGTTTGATAACGAGGTCATTAGAGCTGACAACCAGACAGATAAGGTCAGACAGAAATACATCAATGTAATGTAATGGGGATAAGAACAGAAGCAAAATTTAATGAGTATAGACAAATAAAAGAGAGACAGAAAGGTTAGAAGATGAAATCTTATAGTTTAGCATAAATTATAGTTACATCAAGGCTGTTACATTGAAGGGTTTTTTTGTAAAAATGGATTTGAAGCATCAAGACAAATTTTCATTATATATTGTATTATGTAATTGGTAGATCGTTAAACTATAGAGAGACATGCAAAGAATACAACTCAAAATTATCGTTTATTTGTAACATAATTAATGGATGCGGACTACTGAGGAGTCCCATACTAGGACGAAACGGCCGTTCAGTACTTCCAGGTTTTCCATGGTGGTCTAGCTTCAATTGACTCATGATTTCAACTATTGAAATTATTAAAATCTTCACAAAACCCCTTCTGATTAAAATTAATCTCTTTACAATTATTAAAATCTTAACAATCTAACAAGAGGAGAAAGTAAAATGATATCGTATATCGACTGAAGTTGTGGATGTCCAAATTATTGGTTGGAAAGTAACACATAAGGTGCGAAGCATATAATATACACAAATGATAATCAACTAATAAAATCAGAATTAAATTGATAGTTGAATACGCGGAAAATCAATTAGTTTGCAACGTACATTAACGAAGAGGACTATCTTTCTAGATGAGTACAATTAACGTTCATGTTTATATTCAAATAATAATAAATAGTAACAATAATAATTCAAGTAATTCATTGTGTCAGTGAATAACAATAAAGAGAACTCAGTGAGAAAAATTTTCTTTTCGATCAAATCATTTATCTATTATATTTCTCATCCGTAATCTCTCATCCTCCCCCATTCTCCTCTAACCGCTTAATTATTTATCACATAACCTTCTTTTGATCTTTGAGATCACTTCATGATGTACTCCTTTCTATCTTTCTATAGATTTATATATTTTAATAATCAAATTCATGGGTCCACCTGAGCTAGACCACCAATGACGATCGTTTCGTCCTAGTACGGAACTCCTCAGCAGTGCGCATTTACGGTCCCGCACGTGGGACTCGAACCCAGGGCATTCCGTCTCGCGCGCGAATGCTTAACCTCTACACCACTGAGCCGGCATCCAACAGTGTTAATGTCTAGCTTCAACCAATCCACGATATTGCGCCACTGTCCATCATCGTCTTCAGACACCGTTGAACTCCATTGGTCACGGCTTCTCACTAGAACTCCAGGAAATACCTCTTAATCTAGTCACTAATGAGCACATGATTATTATTATCAGAATGGAGGTTTGCATATATTTACCGAACAACTATTAATACGAATGTACAGCTTAAGTAAATGATTCCGTCGAAAATTTTCTTCCCTGAATTCTATTTATTTTTATTGAATTATAGTTATCTATCAGTTTTTTTTCTGAAACACCAATCAATAATGGAACTATTAAGTAGTAGGAATAATAACATAGACAAAAAACAAAATATTCTTGAACAAGAGTAGATAGCATACTGGTGAGTATCCGACTTTTCAACCCCCTCCCGCTTCGATATTGTTCTACCTTGAAATTGGACAGCCAAAATCAGTAACAAATTACAATTATACATGTTTATTTTTTACGGAAAAATTAACGCCAAATACATGAATTTGTATTTGGTTATGAAATTATATTGTTTTAATACAAACCAATAAAGTGGATGAAAGAATACTACTACTACTTCATACTTAACATCAAGTAAAAGTTAGCCACAAATCATTTAAAAGAATATACATTTAAGGCAATATAAGTAGTAATATATTTCTTTTCCCTAGCTTGAATACTTGATATACATATAACTAATTTATGACCATATGAGTTGGTCAGTTAGTCAGACAATGTCAATAACTCACATACAAATGACGGAAGATGAACACTATAATTCCATCATCAACGCAAAATACTGCTGAGGAAATGTATATGGACTCAATTTGTCCACATTTGAAACTATTATGCAGAGACAAAATTCACAGAATTAGTATCGGGAAATGAAAAGTATGGGGCAATATTTAAACCGATTTCCAACCATCCCATCCAAAATTTCCAGTCACAGACTATGATTATCTGATGCAAAACAAACAGGCAGTCTAGATCTACAGGGGCAAGGCTCAATCCAGTAATTAGTGACCTTATAGAACGATGGCGTCATTAACATTTTTCTAATTGACACTAATGATAGCCACTACTGTACGTAATTATTGTAGCTTATATGCTAAACATAGGCTCATGCGTTGGCCTTCAAACTACACTACAGTACTACTCGGTTAACGAGACCAAAATAAACAGAGTGAGGTAGGGAGTCATAGTCTAGTGGTTGATAAAAATGTGCCTCAGCCACTAAGTTATTGTTGTACATCCAGGTGTGTGATGGCTTGGGACGAGTAGCGCATGTCCCAGACATCTCGGACGATGGAAATTTGTGATCTCGCCGACTGATTTATCACATTTTAGCAGTATCATGTCTAACCTCTGTGTTACCTACTTGATAGTCCCCGTTAAGTGTGCAATGCTTCTAAGGCATCTATGTCTGAGTACCAGAAATACATACGTATTCATTAACAATCATAGACCATGTTTCGCAGTTGCCTAAAACTGTAAAACCTACTGACAATAGGGACGTAATTCCATTAACTGTATCTTTGAAGCACTGCTCGCGTACTATGGGATTAAGCAATTCATGAGTTAGGAAAGGGTACTAGGTAATGATGAGGTAATAAATCTCCATCAAATGAGATGATTGGGACAACTGTTACGTATGTTCATCCACTGTATACCTCAACGCACGATTTTGCCTGGTGTAGGAGTAAGTTGGAAGAAAGATCAGGTTAGTCAAAAACATGGCATCAGTTCATGAAGTCATTAACAATTGGACTGAGCCATGTTGATAGGTGTGGACTACCTAGTTAGGGTATGCGTGATTATCGTAACAAGTGGTTAGACTTTGAATGAAATGGTTTAAAGTCGTTTGGAATGGTGTACGTGCATTCATTTTCGTCTTTTCCCAAATTCGAAGCTTCTGAATTCTACACAATTCTCCTCATTTGCCCCCAGATGCCCCAATACAGTTGAGGGTGGGGAGGATTAGCTCTTTCTCTCCAAATGCCCTCACGTGGCCACGCGTATACAGCCACTGTCAAGGAAGTCCTAATCACCGCCCTCTCGCACCACGGGTGCTGTTTACGAAGTTGAGAGGACGGAAAGAGAATGTCCAGTGCTTTAACCGGATCGGTGGACACGGAGAGTTGGAAAACCCTCATTCCAAACCAATGGTGTATATGGACATCAGGATCCAGAAGAAACAAATAGCGTATGAACCTATTGTTGGTCACCGGTTACCACGGGACTACATCTCCTGACGTTGCTCTACTACCTTGTGGATCAGGCTTTTAGGAAGAAGGCTTCGGGCACGGTCCCCTGAGAAAACTACCTACTTTGGTCTGGGCACCCGGACAGTATCACACACAAATCAAGTGACTTTTGCGGTACATATGTATTCGGTGCCCCGTTGTACCAATATGTGTTCAAATAAATAATTTTACATTTACATAAATAGTATTTTTGATGCCTAATATTTTGTATTACCACTCATATTATTACTGTTTCTACTATTCTGGTATTTGCCCTAAGGATTTCATCTCTGTGCTAACGGGCCCTGGCAACTTGAATGAATGTATAGATGTACCAGGTTCAACTATGCAATAGACACTGTGTTCCTTAAGTTGTATGAAAGAGACGATATTGTATACAGATCTTTGATCTACGTCACTTTTTGATAGTTATCGTTGGTTTGTTACGTGGTGTTTTGCATTTAAAAAATAAGTCTAGACTTGAATACTGTAACTAGCTACTGATGACGCAAGTCCGTACAAAGCTGTCGCTCTTTTTTGTGTATCTGTCTGAACCTTTACCATATCAGGTAAGGTAGGAATAAACTGGTCGTATCAAATACTGTTGCATAGCATCGATTCCAACTAGGTTCAAAGCTAAATGTCAACTCATTGGAAAGTGTATCCAGGATTATTTGTAAATAGAAACACATAGTTGTTTCTCTAAAGCATTTTCCTAATGAATACCGAGCTTCTGTAGATTGCCCGGATATCCTTGCTATCAAATGGATTGTCCCAGTGGATGGCGTGCATATTATTGCTTGAATGTAACTCATTCAACAAGTACGGTAAAAACTTACAATATTGAGAAGTAACTTAGCAAGGTTAGAAAAGGGATGTAATTTATCGCATTACTGGAGATGAACCACTAGAAGAAATGGGGAGGTTCATATATCTAGATAGCTTATCAATGAGAATGTAGATGAGATCAACTTTTGTACAACAAAAACATGAACTACGTATATCTAGATCGTCTTTAGAATATTAGCAATGTCACACTGAATACAAAAGACGGTGTGTACAGTTCCTTTAAATGGGTAGTTTTGCTTTATGCAATCGACTTGATACCTTTAAGATGATGTTTAATCATCGCTGACTTCATTGGATTACTGTTCTTACATTTATTCGTTGACCCAGGTTGTCATAACTATGAAATGACTTTACGCATAGTAATCTTGAAATTTACAATAATAGGTCAATCATAGAAGACGTCGAATGTAGCATAAACGTGAGTCGACCGAAATTGCCATAATATACCAACACAAAGAGATGAATTTAGGAAAATTTTTAGAGTAGTACATGTGAAAAAACCCAACATGACTAAAGGAAGAATTAATTCGCGAAATGATTTGAAAACCTGAAAACTGACGTTAAACGAGTGAACACATTAGGGTACTTTCAACCAATTCTTAGACATATAACACCCCTAACCATTAGTCTCGATAATTGTGCAGACCTCAGAAAGACAGTCAGCACTTACCTACGAATGTTGATCCAACAGTCAATGACTTTATGCAATGATGCCACTTTTTGGTTAAGCGCCCTTTGGCATTCCTTTAATTTGCTCCTACACCAACGAATCATGCATTAAGGAAGATGGTTGAGAACATGCACTGCATATATTGGCCACCTTAGTTGGAGGAGATTCACTATCTTACCAACCGGCTTGCTATCTTTACCTAGTACCTTGAAACCAAACATCAGCCTTACTCACATGACAGTACCAACATAAGTGAGCAAGGTTTCGGGGTCACTAACAACCAAATGTTAATAAATCATAAATACCTGATGTGACTGGATTAGATCTAACTTTGACAATATAATATATTCACTCATTTTATGTCCTTACAGTATAGAAGTGATATTACTACATGAGAGTTCATATTTGAAGTTTACTGAATCCCACTGCGAAGTTACTTTACTAATTTCTGTGGAATAACTTAAACTTCCAATGTGCAGACGTTACTTCAACACTCCAAGTCAAACAATATAAAGTTAATGAGAACGGAGAATTACTTATCAAAAATAATTTCTAATTTATAAAAAACAACTTGAACCAGTGCGTGGTGAATAAACTGTGCTATTTTCTAAAACAAGAGAACAAGCTGCATACTGAAGGAATAGACAAACAAATACCAGACTTTTCAGAACAACCTGTATTACTCTCGTCTTGATTAACTAAACCAGAAATAACAAAGTATCTGATATTTTTGAAAAGGCTATTTGAGCACCTAACTTCTTTGCCTCACTACATTTTATAATGAACCCGTACTAATACACCGACTCGATCTACCTATTTTGGGGTTTCCCCCAAAATCTAGAGAAATTCGGTACGTTTCTGTAAAGTTTGGGAAAAAACCCGTGTTATAAACTTCAGGTGGGAATATTGGGTAGTTTACCTATGCCTGAGGAAATCTTGGAGTCGTATTGTCGTTCCCTAAAAGTTTTCTATTGCGGTACCCGCAAAGTTTATGCAAAACGGACAATTTTCTTCCCAAAAAAGGGAGATTGTAGATGTATCCTGTACAATGAGAGAAGTATGGCATACTACTAAATATACCACGAATTATCTCAAATACATAGGCAAGTACACTTAAAACTATTTAAATAGAAATAAATTACTTTAAGGGAATGTAAAAACGGTAAGCATTTTACATTTAGTCTACACTCCTTGCGACTCAATTGTTAATCGTGCGCTACCTATTATCACTGCTATCAGCCGGGTGACCCCCGGGCTGTAATTGATTTAGAGTAATGAAATTGATAAGTAAACAAAATTGGACTAACACAAAACGAGTTTGTGAATCCCCGACCGGCATTCCTGGGACGCAAATACGCCAACTGGAGAGTGAGGTTGTATTTCCCCCCTCCGGCGATATAGAACTCAGTGGTGGTTTTAAACAATGCGCTTAAGCATCTCGCATGTGGCGTGGTCATATGAGGTGTCAAATGTTCATCCGATAGTCCGGGTACAGTTCTGTTATAATATGCTTCATACATTACTTCTGAACATGGAAGTGGAAAGTCAGTTAGTAATCGATTCATTGATGCAAATGTTTATGCATGAGAGATATTTCCGATTGAAGTTCTGAAAGATTTTGTAGTTGAATAAACTAAATCAGCTAAGACAATACTTAATGACCGTTTATTTTCCGTCTTTGTGAGTTATTAGGTGTAGTTAAATTTTGCCGACTTTTTTAACACCAGTTAAACCAGCTGTTTGATCAGCTGATATACCCTAGGTGGAAATTCTGGAAAACTTTTAGTAATAGGTTCGAACTTCCAGAAGAAAACATTTACGAGAAACTTACTAACCAATAATAAAATGTATTACATCGCTTCATCTCCAACTTACGGCAGATAATGGATAGACTAAACGTATAGTACATATACATCAGTTGATTAATGCCGTTGTCATCCTAACGATTATCAGAAACGCCTTCATTAATTCACGGAATATCTCTAATAGATTCGGTGACAAAGTGATCTCCCCTTACAAGGAATGTCAAATTGCTTTAAATAACACGAACTTTACAAAAGGATATTGTGTAATTACAATATACTGGTTCTCTGTTTTGGTGTCTTATATAAATAAATAAACGACGGCTGCAAAAAGCGACTGAATATGCGTCACCAAGCTGTTCTATGCAATTTCCGTACACTGAGATTTAGTTCTCATTTAAGATAGACTTACTCCATTCCGATAACCCCTTTTAATATTACATGATGTTATTACAAATAGTTTTCGATGAAGACTGAAGACGGGTATCAAATTGGGTTCCAGGCACTAAGATCTAACTGATCAACAACCAAAGTTAACAAACAAACACAAAGTCACCGTGTATAACCTATCAAACTTAAAATGAAAGGCAAAACTGTTGCAATGACACTAAAAGTAATGTTATTCACATAGATGGACTTAAATTTACTTGCTCCTGTTATTCCTAGTGGAATAGCATGGGCCGCTTACCAGCATTCTCCATCCAACTCTGTCCTGAACAATCCTTCCCGGTTCTTTCTAGTTGCTATTCAATATTTTTATATCTGCTTCTAATTTCCGACGTAGTGTGTTAATCGGCTTGCTTCTTTTCCGTTTCCCTTCAGGATTTCAAGTCAGCCATACTTTGTGATGCAGTTCGGTGATTTCTGCAATGTATGTCCTATCCACTTCCTACTTGATGAGCTTAAAGCACAAAACGAAAGTGAATATACACAGATTAGAAATATCTAACCTATAACTATTATCAATCCTAAAAATATTGACTTCAGAGGAAAGGAAGTGAAGATTTCTTATCGAGGAGATGTTCCTGATTCCAAATCTAAAAACATTCAGAATGACTTATAAGTGGAGAACACTGTCGCCTTTGCATCTAAAACAAATTGAAAGTTCCGAAAAGCTGTGAGAAACGATGACATAATCCTTACACAACCTCCTCTTGGCTTTAATGTCGGTATACAACCTTAAGCAAACATAGGCTCACTCATGTGTGATAAATATACCATAATACTAGTAGATCACAGGACTGGTGCTGCTTCCCTACACAACACAAGTAAGATTACAAACTTAAGGCTGATGATTTTATTTCATTTCAATCAGCATGACTACTTTCTCTTGGTGAAAACAAGTAATCACATCTTGTTGTAATGGCATAATGTATGTAAGCCGTTAGATCCTGTCCCAAATCACCCGACGTCTAAGCATTTGGACCCTAACAGCTTTCCGTTCAGTGAGTCCTTGAGATCCTTGCCACTTAGATTGGACAAACGGATCTGGCAAGAAGATTTAGTACTACAAAGTGCTTACCCAAAATTTATGAAAAAAGTCTATGATCCGGATGGAAGCAAACAAGTTATGGTCAGCTGGGCTGACATACAAGTGACTCGAAATGCTCATCAGTAATTTATGTGGCTACAGAAACGATCAGTTTGCATATTAATTCCGTCATACAACACCTCAGAATTATGCACCTTATATTAACCATATCATTTAAACAGTAGCTATGGGATTTCGACATCATTACTCCCAGCCTGACAGGTATCTAACTACACATTTCTGCTCTACTATTCCCACGGCCATCTAAACATTATGGGTTTAGAGCAGCTCAAATTAAAGAAGATTCAGGGAAGCTTCGATCCGCACAGATGGGCTGATCGAAGTGGTATCCGACCGAGAATTCTGAAATAATATGTCTTTCACCTTTAAGGTTTTCTTCAACCCAGGGAAGAGTGCTTTCTAATTGGAAAAAGATGTAATCATGCTCATAAACAAAAGGTTATGACGGGGTGGAAGGATCTGGGCATCGTGTTTTGTGCAACTAATTGTGTCCTGTTTCATTGGTACTCTGAAACATATTAAAGCCTACCCATTTTTCCGGTTTCTCTCCAGAATGTAAGATAAACTGACGTCATGGCCGTTCAAAAAATATTTTTAGTATTTAGTTTTTGGTGGCCCGTGGATCTGACTCCAGGATCATACGAATGTTTGTTATCGCCTATTCTCGTATATAATCGTCGACTTAAATCGCGTTATCCAATAATGGAATTAAATAAGTCAAATAACGAGAATTGACTCGAGAATACATATATTTCGTACATGAAGCGAATGGAACAGAGCAAAGCAAAATGACACGCAGGGGAGATGGCTGGGAAGCCAACTCCATTTTAATCAAGCGTTACTCAATATTTATAGTCAGACAAAATAAAGCTACAGACATGCACTTAATAGGATAAGAAGGTCACACACATATACGCTCATATAAAAACAATCTAGATTGATAAGCGAATAAATAACAAGGTCAAAGTATGGCTCGAGTAGAATGAATAGAATGGGATGTCCGAAAGCTAGAATAAGGTATATAGGCTTGGCATAATAACTGACACTACAAGTTGAAACCTTATCCAAAACGGCTCCTGCATTTGTTCCCTTGAAAAGAAAGAGCATCTTAAAAGGCAATCGGACTGAAAAACAACTCTTACTTATTACCCCTAAGAGCTCCTAATCTATAGCCAGTGCGCTGTAAGGGGGTTAAGGTGTGACATAGTCTTACAGCATAATTTCCATACATCCACCACGTTGACCAGTCGGTGAGTTCATCATGGTTGCATAAGAACCATATCAATATAGCAATCCAAGGTAGCAGTATCATTTTTTGCTGCCAGTAACTAGTAGACTATTCTGTAACTTATTTATTGGGAACGATTATTGTTCAGCATAAGATGTTTTGACTGGCGGTCGGTGACAAAAATTGCATCCAGCACACTCATTCTTTTCTTTGGTCTTAGTGTCCGGAAAATAAATTTAAATCAGTACTCTGAAGCTCAGTACTCGCCTCTCCTGAAGAACAAATAGTTCATTAATTCCAACCGACAAAGTTTGAAGTTTCAAATTATCTGAATTAACCACACTTACTGATAATTTATACTGTAACTTATTTTTACAACCTTCGAATATGATGACTCACTTTTGAAATCGATCAGGTGTAAACGTCATTTAACAAATACACAACGTACACGATTTCTCTCTATGTATACTTTTGATTCATTTGCAAGTGCATTAGTCCTTCTTCAGTATTCACTTATCCACATTTCAGAGTTATCAACGTAATTAAAATTAGTGAAGGAATCTTTGACATCTGAATGATAACTACCTGTCCAACTAGTCCTCACTGGATTTACATGTTTGTCATGAAGTGAATACTCATTTGAATTAAAAATCCTTAAAGTTTTCAGACTATATAATGGTGAACTTATTCTACAGAAGAGATTGAATCATCCACAAAAATTACTGTCCTGTAAGTCGAACTGGAAATGCTCGTTAGTATACTGTAGATGACTATCTAGAAGTCCATCATGAATTCGAAGCAATTACATTAACTACCAGGAAGGTACACGATTATTGGAGAGGGCATACCTGTTTTATTCTGTATGTGTCAAGAGCATTATAGCATAATGTGAAAACTCATAAGTTGTCCAGTAATCATTCCTGACAAGACTTTTAGGTCAAGTTATCCTTTATGCTCGAATAAGGTATAAGTAGTTTACCGATAATGTGTATTATACTCCGAATCCATGTTCAAATCTTGTGGTTAACATTTCTCTCTTCCATACAGTAGATCTATCAAAAATGTTAGTTTTTGTTTGTATTGTTGTGTAGTTGAACTTTTGAACAACAGTGTTTCTGGTTTTGTGGGAGTTGTTGATTCCGTTTGTGGTACGTCTGGATTTTGCTCTGGTTCGTTCTTCAGGCTCGGCCGATTGCTATACTGATAACCTACGGCTATCGTGATATTCAGCATTCGGGCGGATTGAAAATAATCACCAACTAACTGTCAAATATTGATAACTCTTTCCTGCCAGAATACAAAGAAACTTCCAAGTTAGCCTAACTCCTACAATACTGTTGAGCACAGAGGCTCTGTCGTAATCCTATATTTGTTATAATTAACTTGAAAACAATAATCATAGAATATGAAGGTCTTGAACCATAGCAACCATCTACACTGAGCAATAAAACGTCTGTGATATAAATAAGCTCATTAAACCCCAATTAATGTACTGTTCATTATTCGGATGTACGAAATTAAACAAATTGTAAATCCGCGGATTATATAACTAAAAAAGGTTCTACGTATCCGAAACAGCCTGAACCATATAATATTTTATCATTTGTCTATAAATTTCGAGTTACGGTTTTATTCGATAAGTGTTTTGAGCCATTGTCAATTGTGTTTACCTTGTAGTGATCAACTTTTATCAAGAGAACGCGATTGGTGTAATGGAAACAATTATTATTATAGCCAATCGTACCAGTGATTGTTTTACTATGCTCGTTTGTTTAACTGTACCAAAACACATACATTCTTCCGTTGTTTGTGACCTTGCATGAATTCGTTTACGCTCATT